AAAAAAAAAAAGTAACACGAAAAAAATTGTCACGTCCATTGAAGTCTCACATTTTCAAATTAATTTCTTTGCGTAAAAACCATTGCATTTTATTAAAATATTATTTGAAATCACAGCGCGTTTTATTTAATTAGCACTTTATATGCAATTTATATAATTTTAGCTACTTTTTACCACAATTTAAAAGCAATTTTTACACACCGATATACGTACGCGCTACAATTTTCGACATACGCGCGTTTCTTGTGAGTAAAGCAACCATCGCAGTCGCCATCAAATATACAAAAATTTTTCGAAATTACTCAAACCGCGAATACACACACACATATATACAGCGAAAGGCGAGCGCACGCGTACACCAACTGCTCTATAGCGGTACTGCTCACATTTAATACCCATGGGCGTGCGTGCAAGTGCAACCGACATATTAGTGCTGCATTAGCTACAGAGAGCGCGAGAGCGGACACTATGCATGAGAGACTTATCGAAAACGTCTGTGTTCGCTCAGCGTTCGTTGGTGGTGGCAATAGCAAATGCTGCTGTCAGTGTTGGTGGTGAATTTTCGAGATATATATATATATATATATCAATATATGTATAGACATGTATGTGTGTGTGTATAAAAGCAACGAGCACCGCGCATGAAAAAATGCACGAGGAACAAAAGTAACGAGGAAACAAAATGGCTGTCTCACAATATTTGTATAGCATCGGTTATGTTGATAAGCGCCTTTTCTCAGTCTAAGCACCAATGTGCCCCAAATGCTTAAAACATTTATCAGCTGAATATCCATTCGGTTTGGTTTACTTCCGCCGCTTGTACCATTTTTTGTAGCATTTACATATATTATCTACATTTTAGCATTGACTAGCACATTTTTTCGTGTCCAATTCAGCACGTAGCGACGCGACTACTATCGGTTCAGGATGGCTTACTCGATTCATCGATATACAACCGATAATATATTATAATTAATCGATGTAAAGCAACGTAAGAGACATTTTGATTGTTCATCACCAACCAGCTGTTAGCGTCGCAAATCGATAAGCGATAAGTACACATTGAATACAGACGATAAATAAAAGCAATAGTATAGGTAAGCAACATAATTTAACAACGAAAACTTAGTCAAAAAAATTCAAATACTTTTAAATTCAAACAAACAAAAAATTACATTGGTAAGCAGCATTTCAAGGCACGACGCCATTTCTGTTTCGAGGTGGCCTAGCGGCAGTACACACACGCGTGCGCACACACACACACGCGCCCACAGACACGCACACATATTTGCTATTCACACTAACGCAATTACCACTACATATGTAATTTACAGAGCCAGCCGCAGGTCGTCATGCCACGAGGAAAATACGTTAACCACAAAGGCCGCAGCCGCCACTTCACATCACCTGAGGAACTGCAGCAAGAGTCCGAGGATGAAAGTGAACAATCGACTGGCAGCGATGATGAAGGAGAGCAGACGGGAGGAGCCGCCGGCGCCGGCTCATCCAAACAGTCGGCTGCAGCAGGTGCAGCACGCAAACCAGCGAGGACCGCACAGCGACAAAAGCACCAGCAGCAACGACAGCAGCGCAGCTCCTCCGACGAGGAGTCCGATGACGATGACAGTGATGATGATTCGGAGACAGAAGTACGGGATGCCAAGAAGGGCGTGGCCGCGCTTATCGAAATCGAGAATCCCAACCGTGTGACCAAAAAGGCCACCCAAAAGCTCTCCCAGATCAAGATCGACGATGGAGGCAGCAGTGCAACTGGCAGTGGCTCATCTTCATCACACAAGCCGGAGCTGTCGCGTCGCGAACGTGAACAGATTGAAAAACAGAAGGCGCGCCAGCGTTACGAGAAGCTCCATGCTGCCGGCAAGACCACCGAGGCGAAGGCGGATCTCGCACGGCTGGCGCTCATCCGTCAGCAGCGAGAGGAGGCGGCCGCCAAGCGGGAAGCTGAAAAGAAATCTGTCGCCGATCTGGCCAAGAAGCCACTCTCCAAATAGTCTAGACGCTCCACATGACAGCGGGTTTATGGCAATCGCATTCAAATAACAAAAATAGTTCGAATTTCGCATAAACAAGCAAATCACTAAATCAAGAAGCAGAAAAACTAAACTATTGTAATTGTACGATTTCTAAATATCAAAATCATTTTAACGGCAACAAGTAATACCAACATATAAATTGATATGTATGTATATGTATAAAACAAACGTAACTGCACCACATGATGTCATATTCTCAATGATTTGTTTTCAATCTTCTAATTCAAATATACATATACAACAAAATTTACAAATATTTAGTTAAGTCTATCGAGTCAACTTTTCTATTATCAAATTGTTTAACCCTAATATTTTTTTTTACAAATTTTTTTTTATGAATAACAAAGTTTTGTAATTGAGAATTATAATAAATAAATCAAATAAAATTAT